TATATATATATATATATATATATATATATATTTTTTTTTTTTTTGATAAAAGTTGTAAGATGGGTTTGATGCCATTTCATGCCCAGGTTCTGACTCTAGGTGTAAATGCGGAGCAGTGGGAGAAGCCACCAGCACTTGCTCTCCATTCACTGTCATCCGGTTTTGTTTATATTGTTTATATCGCCAATTCTCTAAATGTTCTGCTTCTGAAACTTTCTGATGCAAAGACACTTGCTCCACTGTTCTGTGTTCAATACCATCCAAAAAATCTTTCAGCGTGTGTCTCTTTCCTGTTTTCAGTATGGCAATAGAACTACCTGAACTCGTGGCTCCCAACATTCCAAAACCGTAAGTAGACGCTTTTTAAAGAACTTCAGTTGCACATTGACTAATTTTTTCCCCTTTAACCTTGTTTATATTACATTTTTTTTCTTCTTTTTTTATGATTTACTCTCTGAGTTGGAAGTTATTGGGCATAGGTGATGATGAAAATACGTCAAATATTTTATTTATTACTACATTCCCTTCATAGCTGTGACAAAGAGGTCCAGTAACTCTGCTCTGCTTTTTTTTTATAAATGTACAGAGTGAATATACCATCGACTCATGATACTTTTACATCCTCGTTTGTGTTCTCCTACTTCCAGGATGCCAATTGGAGTTGAACAAGTCGTCTATAAGTTTTCTCCAATACAATACGAGCCTACGTACAAAATGGAGGAAGACGTGCCTATTGTGGTGGAGAAACAACTCCACCACTACTTTCTCGAAGAGGAAAAAGTAGAAGAGGAGGATGAGGGGAACGAAGCAGGAGAGGAAGAAGAGAATGATGATGATGAGGAGGAGGGCAAAGCAGAAGAGGAAGAGGAGAATGAGGAGGAGAAAGTAGAAGAGGAGAATGAGGAGAATGAGGAGGACAAAGTAGAAGAGGAAGAAGAGAATGAGGAGGAGAAAGTAGAAGAGGAAGAGGAGAATGAGGAGGACAAAGTACAAGAGGAAGAAGAGAATGAGGAGGAGGAGAAAGTAGAAGAGGAAGAGAAGAATGAGGAGGAAGAAAAAGTAGAAGAGGAGGATGAGGAGAAGGAGAAGGTAGAAGAGGAAGAGGAGGATGAGGGGAAAGTAGAAGAGGATGAGGAGGAAGATCAGAAAGTAGAAGCGGAAGACGAGTCTGAGGAAGAAAAGGATGAGGAGAAAGACAAAGAAAGGTATTTTTACTAAGACTGAAATAAGAAAGTACACATTAAAGCCTCGTTTTGAAGCGGTGTCTCAAAATTCAATGTGTGTCGATCACTGAACCCTAAATCACACCTGAAAGCAAAGCAAAGTTTCTTCATGTATCCAAACAGTGAAAACAGACAGAAATCTGCTTCATCATCGCCTTATAAAACCTACAGATTTCATCCTCGCTGAATTATGTCCACACTTACTGACAGCTGTGGCTGATGATAAAAGTTTGATATGTTTTTTTTTTACTCACTTTCCAGGGAGATCAGTTAGTTTATGACCTTATTAGTGTCAAACGTCATAATGAAAGAGTGCTTTCACCGGATGTTTATCTTATCTTCTTTGGAGCTTTGTGTCTTTTATTTCTCTCTAAATTCTTAGCATGTGATGCTGCATGCAGGCCTGATTACCTAATAAGTTAGGTAATCAAGTTAAGGAATACAAATTGAATCAAAGATCTGAATTTAGCTGCAGTGACTTGCAAATGTACTTGTTTAACTTGATCTTTTTTGTTGTTGTTATATTACGACCACAAATTATTGAAATTTCATGTGGTAGGTAGACCCACACAAAGTACCCCATAACTTTGTGGCAAACTCATACATAGTTTTGGAAATTCCTGACAAATAAAAATCTGGAACATGTGCTTTGCATTCAGCTGTATTTTCCCCCCATTTTACTCTGCCGACCCCAAATAAAATCCAGCGTAATTCATTTCAATTAGGTGTAAACTAATAAATCACACAGCATCATTTTTGTAATTTCATCTTAGTATAGCTACACCTGTTCAGTTAAAGCCTCAGATGTTACTTTAAGAAGACTGATGAACAAACAACTTTATGACAGCAAAGAGTAAATCGAGGGTAGAATTTTGCATAAGTGAGCCACAGCTGCAGTACAAGGGCGTACACCACAGCACATTCATGCCCAAGTATAATATTTTTAATATTCAGTATTTTCTCCAGCTCTCAGGGTTCCTGGAACACCACATGGGAAATCCCTCATGAGGCAAGCACAGTGGAGAGGTGAACACACGTTTTTTTGTTGTGTTTTTTTTTTTTTGCATGCAGCGCACGCTCTGCTATTCTTCATTTATCCTCCCCTTTGATCTGTGTCCATTACCAGCTAAAAGCCTTTCAATGTCTGTCTGTCTCCCCCTCTCAGCCAAGAAACCGAGACAGAGGACAAGGCTGGAGATCAGCAGACGGTGATCATGTTTGAGAGAAAGTAAGTTGTCGCTTTATTAAGAGCTCCAGGTGCACATTGGCTCCTTTTATCCCCGTAACCTCGTTTCCTTTCGCCGCGGTGGAGGAGCTGGGTTTTTCCAGCGTTTACTCTCTGAGGTGGAAGTTATTGGGCACTGATGCTGATGGAAATAGGTCAGATATTTGTTACTACCTTCCCCTCAGAGCCGTTGCAAACATGTCCAGCCTCCAGCAACTCTGCTTTTTAATAAACGTTAAAGTGTGAATATGCCATCTGCTCATGTTACCGTTGCATGCTTGTTTGTGCCCCAGGTCCACTGAGAATGACTCCCCTTGGGATAAATGGATGACCCCCACTGTTTATACCATCTCCACTGGGACGGAAGATGGCGATGAGGAGGAAGTAAAGGAGGAAGAACGGTATTTTTTGTTGTTGTTTTATTCAGCTTTATTTTTGCCCCAATCCAGAGCAATCAATTCCCATCAGAGATAATCTTAGCTGAGTGCATCATTTTCATTATTTTATATTAGTACAGATAGGCGCAGTTGTGCTGTTAAAGCCTCATTAGTTATTTAGAGAACATCGATGAGCAAACGGCGTCATGACAACCAAGTAACACAGCAGACAAGTCGAGGATAATGCTTCAATTCAATAATAAAACATCATGCTAAACACTGAACATGCTGCATTTTGTTGTTCCGTACTGCTGACAGGGTTGTTAAAATGTTCAGACCTTAATCTAACTGAGAACCACAATCAAATCTTGGACATATCTGTTGACAGAAGCTCTTCATCCTGTCTCACTCGATGAAGAACGTCAGTCTCCAGACGTGAATGGCTGATAGACATTCCCACAACAAAGGAATTACACATATTTCAAGTTTTATCTGCAATTTTTTGTAAAAATGCAGGTTGTTTTCACCTGCATTTTACCTCCCTTTAACAGCTACACCCTATATTCCACACAAATATCCCACTAAGGTTTGGGGTTGCATTATGACAAAATGTGACGAAGTTCAAGGACTATGAATTTTGCTGGCACTGTGGTCTATTTAAGACTCCTGCTTGTGTTCTCCTACTTCCATTGATTATGGTAACACAGCTGTTTAAGCTAAATTGATTTGCGCTAAATCCCTGTGGGAACGCAGATCCTGAACACTTTACTCAGACACGGACCTGCAAGTCCTGTTTCAACAGATCTATCAGCTCTATTTCTGACGTTCTACAATCAGAGCGGCATTCCCGTTGCCTTTCGGCCTGCCCTCATTTGGCTCCCTCCCTCTAATTATCAGGGTACCACGTGTCGGATTGGCGACATGCATTGGAGTCGTCATTCTGTCAAATCTGAGCCCAATGAATGACTGTCATTAACAGGCAGTAGTGAGAAAAAAAAAAGGTGAAGGACCCCGTCATATGACGGGTCCCATAACCCTTCACGCTCCTGTCATCTGTGAGTAAAAGATGACACGAATGTCTGTGCTCTCCGTCTGCAGGCCAGCCGTGGTGGCGGAAGAGCAACGGGTCCCAACACCAGAACCGGAAAGCAAAAAGTGAGCATCTCTCCAGAGTGGAAGCTTAACTTGAAGTTAGAATTTGCACCCACATTAAGTTACTTCCTGCTTTTTAGGCCTTTTGTGTATGTGAAGGAGTATGTCGACGCAAGTGAGTCTTTGCTCAATCTCAGGGACCCACTGAATGGGTAAGGCCAATTATTTGTTGATTTGTTGACGCAGTCATATAAAGATGTTAACCAATGTTGCTTGGATGATGGAACATTTTGTTCTTTTCCTGTAGGTCGGACGATTTTACATCAAGCTCCATCAGTTACTCGTACAGCAGCCCCTCCAGCTACACCAGGTAATACCCCGGCACATAAACCTTTTTCATGCACCAAGACTTGAGAGTGTAGAGGGGATCTATACACACATCCCTGTTAAAATTGAACATAAACCATCAGAAATCATTTCCAAACTTTTTCCACCTCTAACGTGACATTTTGTCTGCTCAATTCAAATGAGATTAACCTGACATAAAGTTCACCTGGCCTATTAAGTTTATCCTGACATTTACTTATTTGCCTCCTTTAGATAAGGCAATAGATTGCAGAAAGTGCAATAAAATCCCACAGAATTTATATATATATATATATATATATATATATATATATATATATATATATACACACTATTGAACAAAACTGTGTCAGATTTGTCTCGGAAGTAGAAGTTAAAAATAATGTCTTTCTTTTTGCAAGTCCGTAAAGAGAAGGAAATGCTATTTGTTTTGGTGTTAACTAGTATTATCAACACACAGCAACAGCATGTTTGTCTCCATGTGACGCACTCAAAATCACTCAAAAAAATTTAAATGCCCACATGCAGATATTTTACAGAATTGTGTGCAGCGCTTGCTAGTTACGAAGTGCTAATAAATATTTAATACCCGTCTCTCAAAGCATGTCATATGCAGTCAATTAATTGACTTTTAGTAGTTTAGTTGAATCAAAACTCTAACAAAGTATTAGTTTAATGCTGTGCACACTTCCACACTTTGTGGCATTGCAGCTATTTATTACTTACATTATCCCCCTAACAGCTTTGCTTGGTTTTAAGTTGAACTGTACAGGATTAATGTCAGGTTTATGATGTTTATGGTGGAAATTATCCATCACGGTCTCATCTTTTTGTAAGAACGCCTTTGCTTTTTACAGGGGTTGTCTACAATTGTGAGATTCACTGTATGCTGAGTTTTTGTGAGAATTTTACATATTTGCCTGAGTGCATTTATTTCACACTTCAGTTGCTGTACTTCTCCTTCTGTACCTCAATATGCCACTAGCAACTCTACAACTCTCTTTTTTAAGTGCTCCAAGCTGCTTGTTTTCACCTTTGAGCGTGTTTACTTTTCTTTACACGAGGCCACTCTGGCTGATCTTGTTCAAACAGAGCGTCGTGTTAGTTAAAATCAACCTCTCGGTAACCAGTACAACACTTAATCCACGCAACCGAGACAAAATCCAGTTTAAGCTAAAGGTCCGTCTCCTCCTGCCTGTTTATTTTCCCACTTCTGACGCAACCAGACGTGGAAGCCATCTCGTTCAGCTAATTGGGGGACAGAATGGGGACATCAAAGGATTATTTACACGTATTAAAGGAGATCAGCCTAAATTGTTCTAATCGCTGTTGTTACCCTCCAGGCTCTCCCCGTCGTCCACCTGCACGTACTGCGGAAAGCAGGTGGGCAACGATGCCAAGATCAGCATCGAGCACCTCAATATTAACTGCCACCCTGACTGCTTCAAGGTAAATGGCCTCCATTTGTGTTTTTTTTATAGCGCTCTCTGGACCCATTGGCACTCCCATTAAATATGTGTAAAATCGTTGATATTAATTCATCTTTTATTGCAGTAGTTTGGAAAATATATAAAAATCCAACCTTTAGTTTGAGCAGATGCGTTAGGTCACGTTATTGGCAACTCATAACAACTCCTATAAAATAAGTGTATCTCTGCTTTTCTGACTTGATCTGTGCATCCATAAATTGTAATGAGCAACGACGACTTCCTGTTTCCCTGAGGTACCATCATGCAGAGTTTCATTTCTATTAGCTATTGCCCACCAGGGTGCAGCAAAGAGTGGCACCTTGAGGCCTCCAGGTCTCCATAGCAACCACTAGGTACTATCTACAAGCAAACCGATTGCCAGAAAGACACGTTTACCTTCCCACCATTACAATTAAAAACAGGCAGAGTTTGCTAATCTCTTCTGGGACATTAAATGGACTGTATATTTTGGTTTTAAGAAACTAAGACACTGAGCTTATTAGCAACAAATATTCAAGTTGAGTCTAGGCTGAAAAAGCACCTCCTACCCATTGTAAAGCATGGTGGAGGATCTGTGGTGCTGTGGGTTTGTTTCTCTTGCAAAGGTCCAGCTAACATTGCTCGAGTTCAAAGTATCATGAACTCTAACTCTTTTAAAAACCATCTTTCAGTCATCTTTCAACATGCAAAAAGTTGCATTTTTCAAACAATGTCAGTGTGGCATTAAAGATGAATTCATCTGAAGGTGTTGCGCAATACGAATTGCATTTTCGACGAATGTTTTCATTCCAATAAAATGGTTTCTTTGAATATTTTTCATGCTGCATTCCAACACATGAGGGTCTTCAACTGGTTTTCAAGGCTCCAGTGCTTTCATTCACTGCTAAAGATTTATTAAATGGTATGAAGAGGTAATTTTCATTGGAACTAAGATTATGCTCTTTTTTTTTTCTTTTCTTTTCTTTTCGTTCACAGTGTGATGTGTGCAGTAGGCCTATGGGAGACCTTCTCCACAGTATGTTCCTGCACAACCAAAAGGTCCACTGCGAGAGCTGTTACGCCACCGTTATTTAATCCCCGGAGCTTTTCATCACCTCCTTATCCTTGTCCCCCCCCCCCCCCCCCTTCTTTTGGTTTTTAAAAAAAAAAGTATTGTTATTGCATTGTTTGCTTTGTTTT